GCTGAAAACTGCCTCTCGTAAATCCAGTTCATGGAACTACAGGAAGCTGCGTCTCCTACCGTCAAGCTAAAGAAATCACAACTACTGTGTATCTTCTCCCAAGATACAACTCCCGTAAACTGTCTCCTGCACTCAGGCTGCAATAGTCTCTGAACTGCTTCTCTTCTTGCCAAGCTTACAGAACTCCTGTAAGCTGCGTCTCTGACACTCAGTCTATAGAAATCCCGCATATTGCGTATGCCTTCTCCTAGCCACAGAACTCCACTAAAGTGGGTTTTCGACACTGAAGCTGCAGAACTGCTGAAAACTGGCTCTCTCTACATCCAGCTTATGGAACTACAGGAAGCTGTGCCTCCTACACTCTAGCTACAGCAAAACTGCATGCTGCGTTTGCCAATCCCAGGCTATAGAACTCCTATAATCTGTGTCTCCTAACCTCAGCCTTCAGAACTCCTGCAAACTGCGTCTCTACATCCATGGTACAGAACTCCTGCAGGCTGTCTCCTACACTCACGCTACAGAAATCCTGCATAGTGCCTATGCCTACTCAGAAGCTACAGAACTCGCAGAAACTGTGTGAACTACAGTCAGGATGCAGAACTGCTGTACAATGCTGCTCTATGTCTAGCTTACAGAAATACTATAAGCTGCATCTCCTACACACAGGCAACAGTAATCCTGCATACTGCGTAAGGCAACTCCTATGCTACAGAACTCCCGTAAACTGTCTCCTGCACTCAGGCTGCAGAACTCCTGTAAACTGCTTCTCTTCTTGCCAAGCTTACCAACTCCTGTAAGCTGCGTCTCTGACACTCAGTCTACAGAAACCGCGCATTTTGCGTATGCCTTCTCCCTAGCCACAGAACTCCAGTATACTGTGTCTTCTCCTGAAGCGGCAGAACTGCTGAAAACTGGCTCTCTCTACATCCAGCTTATGGAACTACAGTAAGCTGCGTCTCCTACACTCAGGCTACAAATCACGCCTACTGTGTATACCTTCTCTCAAGCTACAGAACTCCCGTAAACTGTCTCCTACACTCAGGCAGCAGAACTCCTGTAAACTGCCTCTCTCTACATTCAGGTTTCAGAAATCCTGTATCCATCATCTACTGCACACAGACTACCGAAATCTCCCTTACTATGTTTGTCAACCCCCATGCTACAAAACTCCCATAAACTGTGGTGAACGATACTCAGGGGCAGAACTCCTGAAAACTGCCTCGTTGTACATCCAGTTTAGGAACTACAGTAAGCTGCGTCTCCTACACTCAAGCTACAGGAATCACATCTACTGTGTATACCTTCTCTCAAGCTACAGAACTCCCGTAAACTGTCTCCTACACTCAGGCAGCAGAACTCCTGTAAACTGCCTCTCTCTACATTCAGGTTTCAGAAATCCTGTATCCATCATCTACTGCACACAGACTACCGAAATCTCCCTTACTGTGTTTGTCAACCCCCAGGCTACAGAACTCCCATAAACTGGGTGAACGATACTCAGGCGGCGGAACTCCTGAAAACTGCCTCTCTGTACATCCAGTTTAGGAACGACAGTAAGCTGCGTCTCCTACACTCAAGCTACAGAAATCATGCATACTGTGTATACCTTCTCCCAAGATACAGAACTCCCGTACACTGTCTTCTACACTCAGGCGGCAGAACTACTGTAAACTGCTTCTCTTTACATCAAGCTTACAGAAATCCAGTAAGTCTCCTACACTCAGTCTACAAAAATCCCGCATACTGCGTATGGCTACTCCTATACGACAGAACTTCTGTAAACTCTCTGCTGCACTCAGTCTACAGAACTCCTGCAAACTGTGTCTCTCTGCATTCACGGTACATAACTCCTCAAGCAGTTTCTCCTACAATCATACTACACAAATGCTGCATAATGCGTATGCCTACTCAGAAGCTACAGAACTCGCAGAAACTGTGTGAACTACAGTGAGGATGCAGAACTGCTGTACAATGCCGCTCTCTACGTCTAGTTTACAGAAATACTATAAGCTGCATCTCCTACACACAGGCAACAGTAATCCTGCATACTGCGTATGGCAACTCGTATGCTACAGAACTCCGGTAAGCTGTCTCCTACAATGAGGCTGCAGAACTGCAGTAAACTGCCTCTCTCTACATCCAGTTTATGGAACTACAGGAAGCTGCGTCTCCTCAAGCTAAAGAAATCACACCTACTGTGTATAACTTCTCCCAAGACACAGAACTCCCGTAAACTGTCTCCTGCACTCAGGCAGGAGTGCTGTACAGCTTCCTGTAGTTCCATAAGCTGGATGTAGAGAGAGCCAGTTCTCAGCAGTTCTGCTGCTTCAGTGTAGAAGACACAGTACACTGGAGTTCTGTGGCTGGGGAGAAGGCATACGCAAAATGCGCGATTTCTGTAGACTGAGTGTCAGAGACGCAGCTTACAGGAGTTGGTAAGCTTACAGAACTCCTGTAAGCTGCGTCTCTGACACTCAGTCTACAGAAATCCCGCATATTGCGTATGCCTTCTCCTTAGCCACAGAACTCCACTAAAGTGGGTTTTCGACACTGAAGCTGCAGAACTGCTGAAAACTGCCTCTCGTAAATCCAGTTCATGGAACTACAGGAAGCTGCGTCTCCTACCGTCCAGCTAAAGAAATCACAACTACAGTGTGTATCTTCTCCCAAGATACAAACTCCGTAAACTGTCTCCTGCACTCAGGCTGCAATAGTCCTCTGAACTGCTTCTCTTCTTGCCAAGCTTACAGAACTCCTGTAAGCTGCGTCTCTGACACTCAGTCTATAGAAATCCCGCATATTGCGTATGCCTTCTCCTAGCCACAGAACTCCACTAAAGTGGGTTTTCGACACTGAAGCTGCAGAACTGCTGAAAACTGGCTCTCTCTACATCCAGCTTATGGAACTACAGGAAGCTGTGCCTCCTACACTCTAGCTACAGCAAAACTGCATGCTGCGTTTGCCAATCCCAGGCTATAGAACTCCTATAATCTGTGTCTCCTAACCTCAGCCTTCAGAACTCCTGCAAACTGCGTCTCTACATCCATGGTACAGAACTCCTGCAGGCTGTTCTCCTACACTCACGCTACAGAAATCCTGCATAGTGCCTATGCCTACTCAGAAGCTACAGAACTCGCAGAAACTGTGTGAACTACAGTCAGGATGCAGAACTGCTGTACAATGCTGCTCCTATGTCTAGCTTACAGAAATACTATAAGCTGCATCTCCTACACACAGGCAACAGTAATCCTGCATACTGCGTAAGGCAACTCCTATGCTACAGAACTCCCGTAAACTGTCTCCTGCACTCAGGCTGCAGAACTCCTGAAACTGCTTCTCTTCTTGCCAAGCTTACCAACTCCTGTAAGCTGCGTCTCTGACACTCAGTCTACAGAAACCGCGCATTTTGCGTATGCCTTCTCCCTAGCCACAGAACTCCAGTATACTGTGTCTTCTACCCTGAAGGCAGAACTGCTGAAAACTGGCTCTCTCTACATCCAGCTTATGGAACTACAGTAAGCTGCGTCTCCTACACTCAGGCTACAGAAATCACGCCTACTGTGTATACCTTCTCTCAAGCTACAGAACTCCCGTAAACTGTCTCCTACACTCAGGCAGCAGAACTCCTGTAAACTGCCTCTCTCTACATTCAGGTTTCAGAAATCCTGTATCCATCATCTACTGCACACAGACTACCGAAATCTCCCTTACTGTTTGTCAACCCCCAGGCTACAGAACTCCCATAAACTGGGTGAACGATACTCAGGCGGCGGAACTCCTGAAAACTGCCTCTCTGTACATCCAGTTTAGGAACGACAGTAAGCTGCGTCTCCTACACTCAAGCTACAGAAATCATGCATACTGTGTATACCTTCTCCCAAGATACAGAACTCCCGTACACTGTCTTCTACACTCAGGCGGCAGAACTACTGTAAACTGCTTCTCTTTACATCAAGCTTACAGAAATCCAGTAAGTGTCTCTACACTCAGTCTACAAAAATCCCGCATACTGCGTATGGCTACTCCTATACGACAGAACTTCTGTAAACTCTCTGCTGCACTCAGTCTACAGAACTCCTGCAAACTGTGTCTCTCTGCATTCACGGTACATAACTCCTCAAGCAGTTTCTCCTACAATCATACTACACAAATGCTGCATAATGCGTATGCCTACTCAGAAGCTACAGAACTCGCAGAAACTGTGTGAACTACAGTCAGGATGCAGAACTGCTGTACAATGCTGCTCGCTACGTCTAGCTTACAGAAATACTATAAGCTGCATCTCCTACACACAGGCAACAGTAATCCTGCATACTGTGTACGGCTACTCCTATACTACAGAACTCCGGTAAACTGTCTCCTGCACTCAGGCGGCAGAACTCCTGCAAACTGTGTCTCTCTGCATTCAAGGTACATAACTCCTCAAGCAGTTTCTCCTACAATCATGCTACACAAATCCTGCATAATGCGTATGCCTACTCAGAAGCTACAGAACTCGCAGAAACTGTGAACTACAGTGAGGATGCAGAACTGCTGTACAATGCCGCTCTCTACGTCTAGTTTACAGAAATACTATAAGCTGCATCTCCTACACACAGGCAACAGTAATCCTGCATACTGCGTATGGCAACTCGTATGCTACAGAACTCCGGGAAACTGTCTCCTACAATGAGGCTGCAGAACTGCAGTAAACTGCCTCTCTCTACATCCAGTTTATGGAACTACAGGAAGCTGCGTCTCCTACAGTCAAGCTAAAGAAATCACACCTACTGTGTATAACTTCTCCCAAGACACAGAACTCCCGTAAACTGTCTCCTGCACTCAGGCAGGAGTGCTGTACAGCTTCCTGTAGTTCCATAAGCTGGATGTAGAGAGAGCCAGTTCTCAGCAGTTCTGCTGCTTCAGTGTAGAAGACACAGTACACTGGAGTTCTGTGGCTGGGGAGAAGGCATACGCAAAATGCGCGATTTCTGTAGACTGAGTGTCAGAGACGCAGCTTACAGGAGTTGGTAAGCTTACAGAACTCCTGTAAGCTGCGTCTCTGACACTCAGTCTACAGAAATCCCGCATATTGCGTATGCCTTCTCCTTAGCCACAGAACTCCACTAAAGTGGGTTTTCGACACTGAAGCTGCAGAACTGCTGAAAACTGCCTCTCGTAAATCCAGTTCAAGGAACTACAGGAAGCTGCGTCTCCTACCGTCCAGCTAAAGAAATCACAACTACTGTGTATATCTTCTCCCAAGATACAGAACTCCCGTAAACTGTCTCCTGCACTCAGGCTGCAATAGTCCTGTGAACTGCTTCTCTTCTTGCCAAGCTTACAGAACTCCTGTAAGCTGCGTCTCTGACACTCAGTCTACAGAAATCCCGCATATTGCGTATGCCTTCTCCTTAGCCACAGAACTCCACTAAAGTGGGTTTTCGACACTGAAGCTGCAGAACTGCTGAAAACTGGCTCTCTCTACATCCAGCTTATGGAACTACAGGAAGCTGTGCCTCCTACACTCTAGCTACAGCAAAACTGCATGCTGCGTTTGCCAAATCCCAGGCTATAGAACTCCTATAATCTGTGTCTCCTAACCTCAGCCTTCAGAACTCCTGCAAACTGCGTCTCTCTACATCCATGGTACAGAACTCCTGCAGGCTGTTTCTCCTACACTCACGCTACAGAAATCCTGCATAGTGCCTATGCCTACTCAGAAGCTACAGAACTCGCAGAAACTGTGTGAACTACAGTCAGGATGCAGAACTGCTGTACAATGCTGCTCGCTACGTCTAGCTTACAGAAATACTATAAGCTGCATCTCCTACACACAGGCAACAGTAATCCTGCATACTGCGTAAGGCAACTCCTATGCTACAGAACTCCCGTAAACTGTCTGCTGCACTCAGGCTGCAGAACTCCTGTAAACTGCTTCTCTTCTTGCCAAGCTTACAAACTCCTGTAAGCTGCGTCTCTGACACTCAGTCTACAGAAATCGCGCATTTTGCGTATGCCTTCTCCCTAGCCACAGAACTCCGGTATACTGTGTCTTCTACCCTGAAGCGGCAGAACTGCTGAAAACTGGCTCTCTCTACATCCAGCTTATGGAACTACAGTAAGCTGCGTCTCCTACACTCAGGCTACAGAAATCACGCTACTGTGTATACCTTCTCTCAAGCTAAAGAACTCCCGTAAACTGTCTCCTACACTCAGGCAGCAGAACTCCTGTAAACTGCCTCTCTCTACATTCAGGTTTCAGAAATCCTGTATCCATCATCTACTGCACACAGACTACCGAAATCTCCCTTACTGTGTTTGTCAACCCCCATGCTACAGACTCCATAAACTGGGTGAACGATACTCAGGCGGCGGAACTCCTGAAAACTGCCTCTCTGTACATCCAGTTTAGGAACGACAGTAAAGCTGCGTCTCCTACACTCAAGCTACAGAAATCATGCATACTGTGTATACCTTCTCCCAAGATACAGAACTCCCGTACACTGTCTTCTACACTCAGGTGGCAGAACTACTGTAAACTGCTTCTCTTTACATCAAGCTTACAGAAATCCAGTAAGTGTCTCCTACACTCAGTCTACAAAAATCCCGCATACTGCGTATGGCTACTCCTACGACAGAACTTCTGTAAACTCTCTGCTGCACTCAGTCTACAGAACTCCTGCAAACTGTGTCTCTCTGCATTCACGGTACATAACTCCTCAAGCAGTTTCTCCTACAATCATACTACACAAATGCTGCATAATGCGTATGCCTACTCAGAAGCTACAGAACTCGCAGAAACTGTGTGAACTACAGTCAGGATGCAGAACTGCTGTACAATGCTGCTCGCTACGTCTAGCTTACAGAAATACTATAAGCTGCATCTCCTACACACAGGCAACAGTAATCCTGCATACTGCGTATGGCAACTCGTATGCTACAGAACTCCGGTAAGCTGTCTCCTACAATGAGGCTGCAGAACTGCAGTAAACTGCCTCTCTCTACATCCAGTTTATGGAACTACAGGAAGCTGCGTCTCCTACAGTCAAGCTAAAGAAATCACACCTACTGTGTATAACTTCTCCCAAGACACAGAACTCCCGTAAACTGTCTCCTGCACTCAGGCAGGAGTGCTGTACAGCTTCCTGTAGTTCCATAAGCTGGATGTAGAGAGAGCCAGTTCTCAGCAGTTCTGCTGCTTCAGTGTAGAAGACACAGTACACTGGAGTTCTGTGGCTGGGGAGAAGGCATACGCAAAATGCGCGATTTCTGTAGACTGAGTGTCAGAGACGCAGCTTACAGGAGTTGGTAAGCTTACAGAACTCCTGTAAGCTGCGTCTCTGACACTCAGTCTACAGAAATCCCGCATATTGCGTATGCCTTCTCCTTAGCCACAGAACTCCACTAAAGTGGGTTTTCGACACTGAAGCTGCAGAACTGCTGAAAACTGCCTCTCGTAAATCCAGTTCATGGAACTACAGGAAGCTGCGTCTCCTACCGTCCAGCTAAAGAAATCACAACTACAGTGTGTATCTTCTCCCAAGATACAGAACTCCCGTAAACTGTCTCCTGCACTCAGGCTGCAATAGTCCTCTGAACTGCTTCTCTTCTTGCCAAGCTTACAGAACTCCTGTAAGCTGCGTCTCTGACACTCAGTCTATAGAAATCCCGCATATTGCGTATGCCTTCTCCTTAGCCACAGAACTCCACTAAAGTGGGTTTTCGACACTGAAGCTGCAGAACTGCTGAAAACTGGCTCTCTCTACATCCAGCTTATGGAACTACAGGAAGCTGTGCCTCCTACACTAGCTACAGCAAAACTGCATGCTGCGTTTGCCAAATCCCAGGCTATAGAACTCCTATAATCTGTGTCTCCTAACCTCAGCCTTCAGAACTCCTGCAAACTGCGTCTCTCTACATCCATGGTACAGAACTCCTGCAGGCTGTTTCTCCTACACTCACGCTACAGAAATCCTGCATAGTGCCTATGCCTACTCAGAAGCTACAGAACTCGCAGAAACTGTGTGAACTACAGTCAGGATGCAGAACTGCTGTACAATGCTGCTCTCTATGTCTAGCTTACAGAAATACTATAAGCTGCATCTCCTACACACAGGCAACAGTAATCCTGCATACTGCGTAAGGCAACTCCTATGCTACAGAACTCCCGTAAACTGTCTGCTGCACTCAGGCTGCAGAACTCCTGTAAACTGCTTCTCTTCTTGCCAAGCTTACAAACTCCTGTAAGCTGCGTCTCTGACACTCAGTCTACAGAAATCGCGCATTTTGCGTATGCCTTCTCCCTAGCCACAGAACTCCAGTATACTGTGTCTTCTACCCTGAAGCGGCAGAACTGCTGAAAACTGGCTCTCTCTACATCCAGCTTATGGAACTACAGTAAGCTGCGTCTCCTACACTCAGGCTACAGAAATCACGCCTACTGTGTATACCTTCTCTCAAGCTACAGAACTCCCGTAAACTGTCTCCTACACTCAGGCAGCAGAACTCCTGTAAACTGCCTCTCTCTACATTCAGGTTTCAGAAATCCTGTATCCATCATCTACTGCACACAGACTACCGAAATCCCTTACTATGTTTGTCAACCCCCATGCTACAGAACTCCCATAAACTGTGTGAACGATACTCAGGCGGCAGAACTCCTGAAAACTGCCTCTCTGTACATCCAGTTTAGGAACGACAGTAAGCTGCGTCTCCTACACTCAAGCTACAGGAATCACATCTACTGTGTATACCTTCTCTCAAGCTACAGAACTCCCGTAAACTGTCTCCTACACTCAGGCAGCAGAACTCCTGTAAACTGCCTCTCTCTACATTCAGGTTTCAGAAATCCTGTATCCATCATCTACTGCACACAGACTACCGAAATCTCCCTTACTGTGTTTGTCAACCCCCAGGCTACAGAACTCCCATAAACTGGGTGAACGATACTCAGGCGGCGGAACTCCTGAAAACTGCCTCTCTGTACATCCAGTTTAGGAACGACAGTAAGCTGCGTCTCCTACACTCAAGCTACAGAAATCATGCATACTGTGTATACCTTCTCCCAAGATACAGAACTCCCGTACACTGTCTTCTACACTCAGGCGGCAGAACTACTGTAAACTGCTTCTCTTTACATCAAGCTTACAGAAATCCAGTAAGTGTCTCCACTCAGTCTACAAAAATCCCGCATACTGCGTATGGCTACTCCTATACGACAGAACTTCTGTAAACTCTCTGCTGCACTCAGTCTACAGAACTCCTGCAAACTGTGTCTCTCTGCATTCACGGTACATAACTCCTCAAGCAGTTTCTCCTACAATCATACTACACAAATGCTGCATAATGCGTATGCCTACTCAGAAGCTACAGAACTCGCAGAAACTGTGTGAACTACAGTCAGGATGCAGAACTGCTGTACAATGCTGCTCGCTACGTCTAGCTTACAGAAATACTATAAGCTGCATCTCCTACACACAGGCAACAGTAATCCTGCATACTGTGTATGGCTACTCCTATACTACAGAACTCCGGTAAACTGTCTCCTGCACTCAGGCGGCAGAACTCCTGCAAACTGTGTCTCTCTGCATTCAAGGTACATAACTCCTCAAGCAGTTTCTCCTACAATCATGCTACACAAATCCTGCATAATGCGTATGCCTACTCAGAAGCTACAGAACTCGCAGAAACTGTGTGAACTACAGTGAGGATGCAGAACTGCTGTACAATGCCGCTCTCTACGTCTAGTTTACAGAAATACTATAAGCTGCATCTCCTACACACAGGCAACAGTAATCCTGCATACTGCGTATGGCAACTCGTATGCTACAGAACTCCGGTAAGCTGTCTCCTACAATGAGGCTGCAGAACTGCAGTAAACTGCCTCTCTCTACATCCAGTTTATGGAACTACAGGAAGCTGCGTCTCCTACAGTCAAGCTAAAGAAATCACACCTACTGTGTATAACTTCTCCCAAGACACGAACTCCCGTAAACTGTCTCCTGCACTCAGGCAGGAGTGCTGTACAGCTTCCTGTAGTTCCATAAGCTGGATGTAGAGAGAGCCAGTTCTCAGCAGTTCTGCTGCTTCAGTGTAGAAGACACAGTACACTGGAGTTCTGTGGCTGGGGAGAAGGCATACGCAAAATGCGCGATTTCTGTAGACTGAGTGTCAGAGACGCAGCTTACAGGAGTTGGTAAGCTTACAGAACTCCTGTAAGCTGCGTCTCTGACACTCAGTCTACAGAAATCCCGCATATTGCGTATGCCTTCTCCTTAGCCACAGAACTCCACTAAAGTGGGTTTTCGACACTGAAGCTGCAGAACTGCTGAAAACTGGCTCTCTCTACATCCAGCTTATGGAACTACAGGAAGCTGTGCCTCCTACACTCTAGTACAGCAAAACTGCATGCTGCGTTTGCCAAATCCCAGGCTATAGAACTCCTATAATCTGTGTCTCCTAACCTCAGCCTTCAGAACTCCTGCAAACTGCGTCTCTCTACATCCATGGTACAGAACTCCTGCAGGCTGTTTCTCCTACACTCACGCTACAGAAATCCTGCATAGTGCCTATGCCTACTCAGAAGCTACAGAACTCGCAGA